TCTGCCAAGTCTTTTGCTTTCGTAGTGAGTGATTTTCGTGTGCAAGTTCGGTACTAGTCCCTCTAGATTTTCCAGGTGTATATAATCATGTATCTCTCCCTCCTGCGTTCCAGGGAATACAGGTTTAGAAACCTCAAGCGCTCCCAGTAATTGAGGTGTTTTATCTCCGTTATGCGCGCCGTGAAAGTTCTCTGTACATTTTCTAGGTCGGCAATTTCACCTGCCTTGAAAGGTGCTGTTAGAGTGCAGCAATATTCCAGCCTAGATAGAACAAGTGACCTGAAGAGTGTCATCATGGGTTTGGGCCCTCCCTAGTTTTGAAGGTTCTCATTATCCATCCTGTCATTTTTCTAGCAGATGCGATTGATACAATGTTATGGTCCTTGAAGGTGAGATCCTCCGACATAATCACTCCCAGGTCTTTGACGTTGGTGTTTCGCTCTATTTTGTGGCCAGAATTTGTTTTGTACTCTGATGAAGATTTAATTTCCTCATGTTTACCATATCTGAGTAATTGGAATTTCTCATCGTTGAACTTCATATTGTTTTCTGCAGCCCACTGAAAGATTTGGTTGATGTCCGCCTGGAGCCTTGCAGTGTCTGCAATGGAAGACACTGTCATGCAGATTCGGGTGTCATCTGCAAAGGAAGACACGGTGCTGTGGCTGACATCCTTGTCTATGTCGGATATGAGGATGAGGAACAAGATGGAGCTAGTACTGTGCCTTGTGGAACAGAGCTTTTCACCGTAGCTGCCTCGGACTTTACTCTGTTGACGACTACTCTCTGTGTTCTGTTAGTGAGGAAATTATAGATCCATCGACCGACTTTTCCTGTTATTCCTTTAGCGCGCATTTTGTGCGCTATTACGCCATGGTCACACTTGTCGAAGGCTTTTGCAAAGTCTGTATATATTACATCTGCATTCTTTTGTCTTCTAGTGCATTTAGGACCTTGTCGTAGTGATCCAGTAGTTGAGACAGACAGGAGCGACCTGTTCTAAACCCATGTTGCCCTGGGGTTTTGTAACTGATGGGTTTCTAGATGGGTGGTGATCTTGCTTCTTAGGACCCTTTCAAAGATTTTTATGATATGGGATGTTAGTGCTATTGGTCTGTAGTTTCTTTGCTGTTGCTTTACTGCCCCCTTTGTGGAGTGGGGCTATGTCTGTTGTTTTTAGTAACTGAGGGACGACCCCCGTGTCCATGCTCCCTCTCCATAGGATGGAAAAGGCTCGTGATAGGGGCTTCTTGCAGTTCTTGATGAACACAGAGTTCCATGAGTCTGGCCCTGGGGCAGAGTGCATGGGCATGTCATTTATCGCCTGTTCGAAGTCATTTGGCGTCAGGATAACATCGGATAGGCTTGTGTTAATCAAATTTTTGTGGCTCTCTCATAAAAAATTCATTTTGATCTTCGACTCTCAGTCTGGTTAGCGGCTTGCTAAAAACTGAGTCATATTGGGACTTGAGTAGCTCACTCATTTCCTTGTTGCCATCTGTGTAGGACCCATCTTGTTTAAGTAGGGGCCCAATACTGGACGTTGTTCTCGATTTTGATTTGGCATAGGAGAAGAAATACTTTGGTTTCTTTCGATTTCATTTATGGCTTTTAGTTCTTCCCGCGATTCCTGACTCCTAAAGGATTCTTTTAGCTTAAGTTCGATGCTTGCTATTTCTCTGACCAGTGTCTCCCTGCGCATTTCAGATATATTGACCTCTTTTAGCCGCTCTGTTATTCTTTTCCGTCGCCTGTAAAGGGAGCGCCTGTCTCTTTCTATTTTTACATCTACTCCTCCTTTTTCTTAGAGGAATAAGCCTTGTGCATACATCGAGTGCCACCAAGTTAATCTGTTCTAGGCATAAGTTTGGGTCTGTGTTGCTTAGTATATCTTCCCAGCTTATATCGGTTAGGACTTGGTTTACTTGGTCCCACTTTATGTTTTTGTTATTGAAGTTGAATTTGGTGAATGCTCCCTCGTGACTAGTCCATTTTGTCGGTCTGGGGCTCCACGCATACATGTCTGAACCTCAATTATGTTGTGATCTGAGTATATTGTTTTTGATATGGTGACATTTCTTATCAGATCATCATTGTTAGTGAAGATGAGGTCTAGTGTATTCTCCAGTCTAGTAGGCTCTATTATTTGCTGGTTTAAATTGAATTTTGTGCAGAGATTTAAAAGCTCGTGTGAGTGTGAGTTTTCATCAGAGCTGCCTCCTGGTGTTATTACTGCAACAATATTATTTGCTATATTCCTCCATTTTAGGTGCCTTAAGTTGAAATCCCCCAGGAGCAAGATGTTGGGTGCAGGAGCTGGAAGATTTTCCAGACAGTGGTCAATTTTTAACAGCTGTTCCTGGAATTGCTGGGATGTTGCATCCGGAGGCTTGTAGACTACCACAATGACTAGGTTTTGGTTCTCGACCTTTACTGCTAAAACTTCCACTACGTCATTGATCGTAGGTTATCCTGGAAACCTCACATTACCTCTCTGAAGGCAACTTGTCACAGCCGGCTGAACCTTCTTAAAACCCTTGCTCATCTTTCATGGGGAGCTGATCGTTGAACCCTCCTTCGCCTACATTCCACCCTTATTTTATCGAAACTTGATTATGGTGACCAGATCTATTCAGCGGCATCTCCTGCTACTCTCTCTAGACTTAACCCCATTCATCACCAAGGATTACGTTTATGCCTTGGTGCTTTTCGCTCTTCCCCTGTCGAGAGCCTCTATGCAGAAGCGAACGTTCCATCCTTATCCGATCGCCGTGATGCCCATTGCCTGCGCTACTATGTACGCTCTCATGATCTCCGCAATCCTTCCATTTATAGAATGGTCACTGATATTAGTAGACATTCTTTATTTGTTCGCCACCCCTGTTTACTCCGTCCCTTCTCTCTTCGCCTTCATTCGCTCGTCTTCTCTTCAACTACCACCTTTTTATGTACATGTAGCATCTCACTTTTCCCTACCCCCCTGGGAAGTTCCAGCTGTTCGAGTCTGTTCTTTCTCCCTCCCTTGCTCGAAAGCCCAACTGTCTACGGTCGCTTCCCGCTCTCTTTTTCTTGACCACTTTCACTCTCATTCTCATGCCATTGCTGTGTACACAGATGGCTCTAAGTCTTCTGACGGCGTAGGATTCGCAACATTGTTTCCGGACAGCGTCGTATAAGGGCATTTACTATCTTCGGCTAGTATTTTTACTGCTGAATTATATGCCATCCTTACAGCACTTATCCGTATTGCATCTATGCCTGTGTCATCATTTGTGGTTGTCTCAGACTCCCTTAGTGCTTTACAGGCTATACAAAAATTTGATACACCTCACCCCTTAGTCCTCTGTATCCAACTTTGGCTACGCCGCATCTTTACCAAGCATAAAGATATTGTTTTTTGTTGGGTCCCTGGTCATGTTGACGTACAGGGCAATGAACAGGCAGACACTGCTGCGCGGTCAGCAGTACATGACCTACCAGTTTCTTATAGAGGTATTCCATTTACGGACTATTTTGCTGCAATATCTTCCCACCTTCACACCCGTTGGCAACAACGTTGGTCTACTATGCTCGGCAACAAACTTCAATCTATTAAACCGAGTATAGGTTACTGGCCGTCTTCTTATCACCAGTGTCGAGGTTGGGAGACTACTCTCTCCCGTCTTCGCATTGGCCATACTCGTCTTACTCATGGATATCTCATGGAGAGGCGTCTTGCTCCTCTCTGTGAGAATTGCCAAGCTCCATTATCAGTCAGCCACATTCTGTTGGACTGCCCACTTTATCAACGAGCACGCAGAATTTACTTCTGTCGTCGTCTTCGCTCCGCTGCTCTCTCTTTACCTTCCCTTCTCGCTGATGGACCCACCTTTCATCCGGACTTTCTCATTGACTTTTTGACAACAACTGACTTACTTCACAAATTCTGATACCTTCAGCCCTTTCTACTTCAATCTCTTGCTACCCTCTACCCCCGCACTATCCCCTGCCCCGCTGTTTTCTGTAACCTGCTGATCATCCCTCCTCCCTTCTGCCATCCAATACCCTCGCTTCCTTCCCTACCCTGCAGCGCTGTATAGCCCTTGTGGTTTAGCGCTTCTTTTTTGATTATAATAATAATAATACTGCAGTCCACATCTGCAAATTGTGTGAAGAGTTCTATATCAGGTATACAGCAGAAAATTTCAGAGCTTTTTCTGTGATTTTTAAATATTTTGAGTTAACAGACACTCTGAGAATTCCCGTATTAGTCCATTACATCACGAGTTAATATGTAATTGTATCAGGCTGAGAATAAAGTATTATACTGGGAATTGGAGACAAAGCAAAAAACAAGTTGTGGGGAAAACTTCAGTACTGCTACAATATTCCTCTGAGATGGTTTCTTGATGCCAGTGGAGGGGGGGGGGCTATGGGGGGAGGGGAAGGTCTCTTTAGTCATGGAACTGGATATATCTTCCTCTTCCTTAGCTCAAACCTGAATAATCCCCCATTCCTCAGATGTTATATGACCCTTCAGCAGCGCTGTATAGCCCTAGTGGCTTAGCGCTTCTTTTTGATTGTAATAATAATAATACAGTGGAACCTCAAATATCGAACTTATTTCGGTCCAGAAGGCTGTTCGAGTGCCTTTACCGAATGAATTTATTCCCATCAGGAATAATGTAAATTAGATTAGTCCATTTCAGACCCTCAAACATACACTTATAAAAGCACTTACAAAAATACACTTACATAATTGGTCGTGTTGGGAGCAGTTCGATTTTTGAGGTTCCACTGTAATAATATATGACCCTTCAGAGATTTAGTGCTTCCCCTTGATCAACAGGAAAAAAAAAAAGTTACATTTCATCCAGCCCTGGGCAAATATAGCACTAATAAATATTTCCCTGCAAAAGTTTTTTATTTCTCCACTTGTTAGCTTACACCATCATTTAGCACTGAGAAGTGCTATTATAGTTACACAAAATGACCTAAAAAAAACTACTTTTAATACTAACTTGAAGGTTTTCAAGAACTCTGGTGCTTCCTTGTCTTCCAAGAGTTCCTAATATTAGTCCCCACTTATTCGCCTTGCTTGCTTTATCGATGGCATCCTTACGGATTTTTTTCATCATTGGCTGATCATAGTATTCTCTAGAGAGGACCTTAGAGTAAGGATTGTACCTAAAAGGAAAATGTATTTAGGCATAATACATTTTTACAGGAAAAAATATCATGTCAATAAATGACATATTAACACTTATTAATAAACAGGTTTTATAATTTTAAGAGACCTAATTTGAATACATTGTATTGTCTGAAAACAACTAGAAAATGGGATACTTTGCTGAAAAAAAATTACACTGCAATATTTGAAGCAATATTGTATGTATTGTATGTATCTTAAATGACAAGCTTGCTGTTTAGTGCTTTTAGTAATGTGCATTGGCCTAGATTTTGTTTTCTAACACATTGGCCATCTCCCACTGAGGCAGGGTGATCTAAAAAGAAGAAACAAAAGTTTTTCTTTTTATATTTAGTAATATATACAGGAGAGAAGGGGTTAGTAGCCCCTTGCTCCTGTCATTTTAGTCACCTCTTATGACACACATGGCTTAAGGAGGAAGAATTCTGTTCCACTTCCCCATGCAGATAAGCAGAAATAAACAAGAACAAGAACACGTAAGAAGATAGAAGAAAACCCAGAGGGGTGTGCATATATATGTACATATATTACCTGGAGTTTACCTGGAGAGAGTTTCGGGGGTCAACGCCCCCGCGGCCCGGTCTGTGACCAGGCCTCCTGGTGGATCAGCGCCTGATCAACCAGGCTGTTGCTGCTGGCTGCACGCAAACCAATGTACGAGCCACAGCCCGGCTGATCAGGAACTGACTTTAGGTGCTTGTCCAGTGCCAGCTTGAAGACTGCCAGGGGTCTGTTGGTAATCCCCCTTATGTGTGCTGGGAGGCAGTTGAACAGTCTCGGGCCCCTGACACTTATTGTATGGTCTCTTAACGTGCTAGTGACACCCCTGCTTTTCATTGGGGGGATGGTGCATCGTCTGCCAAGTCTTTTGCTTTCGTAGTGAGTGATTTTCGTGTGCAAGTTCGGTACTAGTCCCTCTAGGATTTTCCAGGTGTATATAATCATGTATCTCTCCCTCCTGCGTTCCAGGGAATACAGGTTTAGAAACCTCAAGCGCTCCAGTAATTGAGGTGTTTTATCTCCGTTATGCGCGCCGTGAAGTTCTCTGTACATTTTCTAGGTCGGCAATTTCACCTGCCTTGAAAGGTGCTGTTAGAGTGCAGCAATATTCCAGCCTAGATAGAACAAGTGACCTGAAGAGTGTCATCATGGGCTTGGCCTCCCTAGTTTTGAAGGTTCTCATTATCCATCCTGTCATTTTTCTAGCAGATGCGATTGATACAATGTTATGGTCCTTGAAGGTGAGATCCTCCGACATAATCACTCCCAGGTCTTTGACGTTGGTGTTTTGCTCTATTTTGTGGCCAGAATTTGTTTTGTACTCTGATGAAGATTTAATTTCCTCATGTTTACCATATCTGAGTAATTGAAATTTCTCATCGTTGAACTTCATATTGTTTTCTGCAGTCCACTGAAAGATTTGGTTGATGTCCGCCTGGAGCCTTGCAGTGTCTGCAATGGAAGACACTGTCATGCAGATTCGGGTGCCATCTGCTTGCATATGTATGTGTAATGTGACCTAAGTGTAAGAAGTAGCAAGATATACTTGAAATTTTGCATGTTTATGAGACAGAAAAAAAGACACCAGCAATCCTACCATCATGTACAACAATTACAGTCTTTTGTTTTACGCTCACTTGGAAGGACAGTAGTACCTCCCTGGAGGGTTGCTGTCTACCAATCTACTACCTAGGACATAAAGCAATTTTTTTTTTTAACAAGTCAGCCGTCTCCCACCGAGGCAGGGTGACCCAAAAAGAAAGAAAATTCCCAAAAAGAAAATACTTTCATCATCATTCAACACTTTCACCTTACTCACACATAATCACTGTTTTTGCAGAGGCGCTCAGAATATAACAGTTTAGAAGCATATACTTATAAAGATACACAACACATCCCTCCAAACTGCCAATTATCTAGTGAATTAAATGTAAGCCATGTTCATTATTAAACTAGGGCATATTATATATTACCTGGATAATTAGTCTCATTAGGTTAAATTTTATATAAACATCTAGTGTTAAACTCAGGACAATGTTTTAACAATTATTCTAACAGTTCTATATATTTAAACAATATGACTCAATAAGCAAAAACAAAGCAAATTAAAAATATAAAATTAAAAATATCTGTAAATTTAACTGCAATCTACTGTACAGTATATATGGCACTGCAAATTATATACTACTGACTGTAATAGACAAAATATATGGACACACATCAAATCAAATAAAAAAATAAATATATACAATGTAAAGAGTTTTATGCTTACAAGTATGTGGGAATTTCTGGATTTGAAATCATTATGGACTCCAAGTGGAATCGACCATCACCTAGACAAATGATAGTATGACCTTCTGGAACAGGTGGTGAAGTGCAGCCAAGAACTTCTCCTGGGGATAATGGTCGACACTGAGGGAGACACACTGTATATCCACAACTCTTGAGGTCTTGGGCCATTTTTTGGAGTGAGCTCACAAACTGAATAATGGACACTAAAGCTAAAGGTACAGATGTGGGAAAAACTGACTTAATGGTGTCTATGAGATGCACTTTATCAAACTGAATATCTACAAAAACATATAGGCATGGAATGGAGCTAGTTTGATCTATTGGTATAAGGCATGAATGCCCATAATGAACCATAAAATCTGCACCAACAGCTCGTGCAGTGAAATCATCAACACAACAAGCTCCGTATGTTACATCTCCCATTATTGTAATTTCTGCTCCAGTCCAGGATTCAATTATATCAGCTATTGTTGTAGCAAATAACAACAAGCCTTCAGGAAACTGTAAAGCAACATGTTTTGAATTAGCTTGTCTGATTCTCCAGATTGTTTTAGGAATTTCAAAATTATAATTTTTTGGTAGAATATCCATAGCTAGCTTAAGTTTAGGGTCATTTTCTATTTCAACTGGGACTCCCTTGACAACATTTCGAGGATGGAAAATTTTCCTTTCTTTCTTTGGAGCAGCCTCGATTTCCTTACTAACAGTGTTTAAAGAAGCTGGCTGGGCCTCCATTATGTCTGAAAATATTCAGTCTTCTGAAAAGAAAGTCATTTATATATAAAATACAGTGAAACATTTTTATAATTACACAAATTTTAAAGCACTGTAATTGCATTGGTATTGCAATGAGGTTCTTAAACAACAGACAACACTTAAAGTAACAATACTGTGGAGTTCTATAAATAAGTATCTTAAGTTCTCATTCTTGTACTATATAAGGGAGGTGCCTACAAATATTACATGCAAACTCTTACTATACATTAATTGCAGTAATGTTTTCTAAACCATTACATCACATTAATTACAGTTCCCTCTTAAGAGTGAAAAAATGAAGTTTTAAATGATAACCCAAGAATGCCACACAGCAAGAATTAATCCCACTGGAGATCTGCTCTTAGGATGTGACCCACAACACCTAACACCTAGCCACTGTAACTATTTTAGTGTTAAGTGAACATTGACAGTAGGTGCACAGACTTGCCCTTATGTCTCAGCTTGTCTGCTAATCAAATCACAGTCTTCTCAGTACTGAGACAAATTCCTTACTATTCCTCGACAGTTTAGCACACAGTAAAATTTTATCTTACTTAAGTCACACTCACACACACAATGGTTAATACACAGATATAATAATATTAGTAGTATATCACTGTATCAGGGGAAAACAGATTCAGTCTTATTTGAAAAATAAACTGGTGAGAAAAATAATATTGGCAGAACAGGTCAACCCAAGAAAGACCAGCATTGCAGCTTATTTCCACTGAGGTTATATTTTAAGGCCGACTCCAGGATGCAAGATGCAATATCAACCATACTGAGCATACCACTTCTCATTTAATAAGCAAAATTAGGCAGTACTGGGTTTGGCTAATACAGTATCTAGATATGTGACTGCCTGAGAACATTAAATGCTGCTGGAATACACGTTTTATAGGTAATCATGGCTTAAGTAGTTGCACCTTCAGGTCACATCTAATGAACTATGGACCTGGGTTTGATGCCAACACCTGTTGCCCCTGTTCACTTAGCAGTGAACTAATACTTGGATGTTACAATGTTAGTTCAGCTGATAGCACACTTGGATAACACATTAAGTATCTGTGGTTTGCCCCCTTGTACAGATGGAAAAATTGGGAGTGTTTCCTTAAAACACCTGCTGTCCCTGTTCACCTAGCAGTAAGTAGCTACCTGGGCATTAGTCGACTGGTGTGGATCGCATCCTGGGTGTAAAAATTAACATAAGTTATCTGAAATGCTCTGAATAACAGTCAGCTAAGTTATATCGTGTACTTGTAGAAATAAAGATTATTATTATTGTTACTGACCCAAATTAAAATAAACCAGATACAGTAATTTTCTTGGGTTATCTGGGGTTACTAACAGTCTTGTTAATCCGAATAAAGATAAGTAATGTTATTGAAACAAATACCTTAAATAATTATGTATATAAAGAAGACAAGACATACATGAATGGGGAATGATTAGACTGTATTAGTGGTATCCAGAGAGGTTCAAATCACTGACATCTGTTATCCAGCGTGAGATAACAAGTGAGATTATTATTATTATAATCAAAAAGAAGCACTAAACCTACAAGGGTCATACAGCATAAGTGAGAACAAGGTTCAGCGACTTGCTAAATTATAATCACGGCTAAGAGTAGTGCTTGCCGATATTACAAAATTTATATATGGGAAAACTCAACTCCAAAAGGGAAATATCAGAGACTTCTGACATTGTAACTTTGCAAAGAAATAAAAAATTTTATTTGTATTTCAGTATTTGACTGATCGGCAACTTGATAACCACTGGCATCAAGACCTGCATTGTTAGCTTCACGTAGTACAAGAATGGTATAAATACTGACAAGATGAAATTAAGACACGTGTAACATCTGGGTATCTTTACTATAGACGTTTTGCCATCCAGTGGCTTTATCAATACAGATTCCATGACATAATTTGAAGACAGTAGAAGTATATACAGAAGATGAGGTAATCAGTCCCTCAGCCTTGGAGTTGGTATGAAGACTACGGTGCTCTTCACACCAACTCCAAGGCTGAGGGACTGATTACCTCAAATTCCCAGCCAGAGTAGAAACATTGGGCATGTTTCTTTCCACCTGTTGTCTATGTTCACCCATCAGTAAAATGGGTACCTGGGTGTTAGTCAACTGGTGTTTACCTGGAGTTTACCTGGAGAGAGTTCCGGGGGTCAACGCCCCTGCGGCCCGGTCTGTGACCAGGCCTCCTGGTGGATCAGAGCTGACCTGTTATGTTATACGGTAAAACAAACATCTTGAAGCCAGGAAAATGATGGAATGAATAAATAAAATTTCAAGCGAAGAACGACGATGCCTGGAGTTTACCTGGAGTCTCTTCCGGAGGATATCGTCCCCGTGGCCCGGTCCCAGACCAGGCCTCCTGGTTGCTGGTCTCAATTATCAAGCTGTTATTGGCCGAAGTCCAGTGTACGCACCACAACCCGGCTGATTAGGAACAGTTTTTTGAGGAATCTATTGAGTTTTCACTTAAAGACAGCAATGGGCTTGTTGGTGATTCCCTTATGCATGAAAAGAGGGTGCTGAAGAGTCGTGGTCCTTTAACACTTATTGAGTTCTCTCCCAGTGTATTCGTCGCTTCCCTGCACCATCTGTCTCTTGTGTTTAAAAGTAGTAATTTCGGTGTGCAGGTTTGTGACGAATCCCTCCAGAATCTTCTAAGTGTATATTATGATGTGTCTTTCTCGCCTACGTTCTAAGGAGTACGGTTCTAGGGACCTGAAGCATTGCCAGTAATTTAGGTGTGGGTTGCATCCTGGGACACTGATCTAATTTGCCCTAAATGCTCAGCATAGGGGGCTTTCTATATAGTAGCAAGTCATTGATGTCACCTATGGTCTGTACACCTTGTACATGTAGTAAATAAAGATATTATTATTATCATTATTCTGTATATAATTCTAGTGTCTTCAAATTATGTCCTTGAATTTGTATTGATAAAGCCACTGGATGGCGAAACTTCTACAATAAGGAGACCCAGATGTTGCAAATGTGTCTTAATTTCATGGCCTCATGTAGTATTCATATATAGTGCATTTTTATATGTCAAACCACAATTTATAACCAAAATTACGCCGTGCTTAATTTGTTAGAGTAACACGTTGTTTTTGTTAGGGATTTATAGGGCCATCGTTGTTGCCACCGTACAAGTGTTTTTTCTTGGGAATTTATAGGGCCATCACAGCTGACACCGTATTCAATCCTTATTTAGCGCTGCCCGAGCAGCCACATTATACACAGGATATATACACCGAGTGGTGTATATCTCTCAGCGTATATATACTGAGTTTCATCACTATATTAGGTATTAAAGTATTCTTGCATAGAAATGAATAGGTTACGTGTAATAATGATAGTAATAATATGACTTTTTGGGGGTTATCCTAGGTTCTCTACACATATGCTGCTATGTATAATAATCTGTATAGCTGTATTTGTGTATACCTGAATAAATTTACTTACATTGGTCTTCTGATTCATGATAGAACTGATGAATTGGCTAAGTTATATGTTTTCCAAGAGAGGGTAGATTACAATCTTGGCTTGTCATTTAGCAATTTGAGAACAATAATACGAAAAGAAATTCAACTGAACTTTATTAATTTAAAACTGAGGGAGATTGACACCAGTCAGTCTATCGATCATCATTCTGTCATGCAGGGGGAGCCACATGTCTATGGTGCATCCGTCAAAATAAGCAGACTCTTGGATGTCACTACCGCCCGGCCCTGTCTGACTTGAAGTGCCTGTCCCATGGACAGTTGTCACACCCTGCGTCATTATGTGCTGGAATGCAATAAAATTAATTAATTCAGAGACAACTCATTCAGAAAATGTTCAAGATATGTCAAAGCATTTTATCAACAGTGGTATTTTACAAACCATTCGGGAAAAATACCCTGACTTTGCTCACTGTAAATGAAGCTAATACTTGCATTAATAACTCATTGCAGTCGTGATGGGGTGTGGACGTGTGAATGGTTCATCGCCTCTGTAACTTGTTCAGCTACCAAAACTTTGCAGTCCAGTCCCTGGACCCATCATGTACCTCTGTAATCTTTTTGACTACCACCCACAGGATGGGTATGGGGTGCATAATAACCTGGAGTATACCTGGAGAGGGTTTCAGGGGTTTACGCCCTCGCGGTCCGGTCTGTGACCAGGCCTCATGGTGGATCAGGGCCTGATCAACCAGCCTTTGCTGTTGGCCGCATGCAACCCGACGTACGAACCACAGCCCGGCTGGTCAGGTACTGACTTTAGGTACCTGTGCAGCGCCTTCATGTACAAGGTATACAGACCATAGCTGATATCAATGACACTACTATATAGAAAGCCCCTTGTTATGCAGAGCATTTCGAGTAAATTAGGTCAATTTTGTCCCCAGGATGCGACCCACACCAGTCGACTAATACCCAGGTACTTTTTTTACAGTTAGGTGAACATGAACAGCAATATATCGTGATGAACGACTGATCTGCTGGTTTCTACGGTATGTGAACTGATCTACAGTCTCTTAACAATAAGAACATAAGAACGGAGGAACACTGCAGCAGACCTACTGGCCCATACTAGACACGTTCTTCTCAAACCCAAACCCACTAACAAAATTATTTGCCCAACCCATTTTCACTGCTAGTTTAATTTAAACCTTGTGTTTTAAAATTTTGTTTGAGAAACCAAAATTATATTCGACATTCTCTTTGGTTGCTTGGTTGGCTATTTGGGATTTAAAATCTATCACTACAACAAGAACCTTAACAGGAACCTTAACACCACCAGAGAATATTTTAATCCCTAAAATAGGGATTATAGGGTCATCACAGCTGACACCGTACTGAATCCTTATTTAGCGCTGCTTCCCGATGCGAGTCTTAATCATACAAGATGGACCCAATTTCAACATATTACTATTTGAAATCGGGTCCATCTTTTTGAAACAGCCTATATAATGACCCGCTACTTGAGCTTTTGGTCATTTGATTAAGGCCTTCCACTGGCTCACAGTCCACCCCCTTGAAAAACTGAGGTTGTAATTAGTGATAAAAAAGTAAAATATATACGCTGAGAGAAATATACGCCTCAGGGTATACATCCTGCTTCTCTTTGTTTTACGCCAGTTTAGGCAAGTCATCAACTTGTTCACACTTCCAGAGCATGACGGTTTGTTGGCTAAATTCCTTCGTATTGAAAAAAAGACAAAGCTTATTATTATCATAGTATAGAATTTATAATGATTTGCCTTTGATGAAGTATTTACGAGAATATCATCAGCATAGCCAATGATACACCTGGTACTGGTGGAAACATTGGGTGTGTTTCCTTACACCTGCTGTCCATGTTCACCTAGCAGTAAAATAGGTACCTGGGTGTTAGTGGACTGGTGTGGGTCGCATCCTGGGACAAAATTAACCTATTTTGCCCGAAATGCTCTGCACAACAAGCGGCTTTCTATATAGTAGTATGTCACTGATGTCAGCTATGGTCTGTATACCTTGTATATGTACTAATAGAAATGAAGATATGAGAAAAATATTATTTCTGAGGCATGAGGCCCCATATTACCATCCCAGACCCATCCTTCTTCCCTCCCCATCTTACCAAAGCTCTGGACACACCTCGTATCTCGTGAGGAGTGTTAGAGTGGAGGAAGTGGCAATGTAGAGGGCGGAGCCTCCACACTGGAGGAACGGAATGAGTGAACTGTAACGTAACTGCTTCCGTTGTGTACTTGTCTTACGTGATCTGTTTACTCGTATGTACTCACCTATATGTGGTTCAGGGATCGATTCACGGCTCCTGGCCCCGCCTCTTTGATAGTCGCTACTAGGTCCACTCTCTCCCTGCTCCAAGAACCTTGTCACACCTCTTAAAGCTATGCATGGATTGTGCGTGCGTGCGTGTACTCACCTATTTGTGTGTGTGTATTTGTGTGTGTGCTTGTGTGTACTCACCTATTTGTGGTTGCAGGGGTCGATTCATAGCTAATGGCCCCGCCTCTTCACTGATTGCTACTAGGTCCTCTTTCTCCCTGCCCCATGAGCTTCATCAAGCCTCCACTACATCACTTGCCAGACTATTCCACTTCCTGACAACTCTATGACTGAAGAAATACTTCCTAACATCCCTTTGATTCATCTGAGTCCTCAACTTCCAATTGTGACCCCTTGTTTCTGTGTCCCATCTCTGGAACATCCTGTCTCTGTCCATCTTGTCTATTCCACGCAGTATTTGTCCTTATCATGTCTCCTTGATCCTCCTGTCCTCCAGTGTCGTCAGTCCAATTTCCCTCAACTTTTCTTCGTAGGACATTCCCCTTAGCTCTTGAACTAACCTTGTCGCAAACCTTGGCACTTTCTCTAATTTCTTGACGTGCTTGATCAAGTGTGGGTTCCAAACAGGTGCTGCATACTCTAGTATGGGCCTGACGCACACGGTGTACAGTGTCTTGAACGATTCCTTATTAGGGTATCGGACCGCTATTCTCAGGTTTGCCAGGCGCCCATATGCTGCAGCAGATATCTGGTTGATGTGTGATTCCGGAGACGTGCTCGGTGTTATACTCATCTGCAGTCTTTGGCCTATACTCTGCGGTCTTCTTTGCCCTTCTTTGCATTTGGAGGGGTTAAGTCGAGAAGCCAGTTGCTGGACCAGGTGTCCAGGGTGTCCGGGTCTCTTTGAAGTCCTGCCTGATCCTCATCTGATTTAATTCTCCTCATTAATTTCACATCATCTGCGAACAAGGACACCTGAATCTATCTCTTCCATCATGTAACCCACATATACCATAAATAGCACTGGTCCTAGGACCGACCCCTGTGGGACCCCGCTCGTCACAGGTGCCGCATGTGATATCTCATCACGTACCATGACTCGTTGTTGCCTCCGTCAGGTATTCTGTGATCCACTGCAGTGCCCTCCCTGTTATACACGCCTGATCCTCTAGCTTCTGCACTAATCTTGTGAGGAACTGTGTCGAAGGCTTTCTTGTGTGTGTGTGTGTGTGTGTGTGTGTGTGTGTGTGTGTGTGTGTGTGTGTGTGTGTGTGTGTGTGTGTGTGTGTGTGTGTGTGTGTGCGTGTGCGTGTGTGTGTGTGTGTGTGTGTGTGTGTGTGTGTGTGTGTGTGTGTGTGTGTGTGTGTGTACTCACCTATTTGTGGTTGCAGGGGTCGAGTCCTAGCTCCTGGCCCCGCCTCTTCACCGGTTGCTACTGGGCCCTCTCTCTCCCCGCTCCATGAGCTTTATCAAACCTCGTCTTAAAACTGTGTATGGTTCCTGCCTCCACTACGTCATTTTCTAGGCTATTCCACTGCCTTACAACTCTATGACTGAAGAAATACTTCCTAATATCTCTGTGACTCATTTGTGTCTTCAACTGTGTGTGTGTGTGTGTGTGTGTTTGTGTGTGTGTGTGTGCGTGTGTGTGTGTGTAGCACCGGACACACTCCGTTACTCTGAAGAAAATCGCAGGAAAATTGTAACGTGAGAATTGCTACTCACTTTTTCACTCACATGTTTGTTAAGAACATTGTGCTGAGTCAAGAAACAAACACTCGGACTTCTCAGATTATACTTCAGCTTTACATATCCTTGGTAAGTCTTCATTTAAATTATGCTTCTCAGTTATCCTAGGGTTATCCTGGGCACTTTACACATATGCTGCTATGTATGATAAACTATGTAACAGTACTTATGTATACCTGAAAAAATTTACTTACTTAGAATGAGGTAAATAAGCTGGAAAATATATATTACAGCCTCACGAAGTTGATCCCACGTATCAGAAACCTGTTTTATAAAGATGACTGACGATATTAAATTTACACTCTCTGGGAAGACGTAGAATTTAGCGGGAATGTGACTCAAGTTTACAAATGGAAAACAGGAATGAATGAAGGTCATATAAATAACCACATACCCATCATGTGGGTGGTAGTTATCACATGCCCATCCTGCGGGTGGTAGACCACATGCACATCCTGTGGGTGGTAGTCACCGCATGCACATCCTGTGGGTGGTAGTCACCGCATGCACATCCTGTGGGTGGTAGTCAAAAGATTACAGAGATACATAATGGGTCCAGGGACTGTACCTCAACGTTACAGAGGTACATAATGGGTCCAGGGACTGTACCTCAACATTACAGAGGTATATAATGGGT